CCAACAGCACTTGCAACAGAAACAACAGCAATAAGAAGACGGTCACGAGACGAGAATATAAAAACGAAAACTCTGGTAAGCAAACAAAAGAGTCATAGTGCAACATCTGCTCCTTGGCAAACAATCAGTACAACGCCAGTCAGTATCCGAAGAAGAACAACGAATAGAGGAAACAACTTTATATTTTAAAAAATATAAAAATAATATAAAAGAAAAAAATAAATAAAGTAAAAATCTTAAACAAAAGTAAGCAAAAGAAATAACCAAATCATACATAAATTATAACAGACGTTGCAAAAAACGTGAAAATTATTTCGAAAAGGTCTTGAGAAAAAAAAGTATACACACTATTAAAAAATTTAAAAATTTTTTGTTTATAAGCAAAAAAAAAATTAAGGAAACTTAAGAAAAAAATTTGGTGAGAAAATTTAAAAATAAATTAAAACTATTTTAAGGTGGCTTAAGGAAATAAAAAAATTTTAAAATCTGTAAAGTTTTATTAAAAAAAAAATTATAAAACATATGTAACAAACGCCATTTTGACCAGAGAATATATATAAAAAAAAAACTTATTGATTTCTCAGCATCAACAACAAAACTAACAGCTAAAGCAGCCGCCAGGAAGACAGACAGCCCTTTTTAACAAAAACTTGGCTTTTTGGAGAAATTTTTATAAAAAAATATAAAATTTCGAGCAAATAACTGAAAATTGTATGAAAAAAAAACTTGACATTTGAGAAAAAAAAAAACAAGTACTTACTACATATTACTCCAAATCAAGGACATTAAATATCCAAAAGACCATTTAACATCGCTGTCAAAATCAAAAGCTGAGTCACGCAGTCTTGTTTGTTTGTTGGTATAATACGTACATGTCTGTATGTATGTAAGTACGTAAGGAAGTTTGTGTGTATGTTTTGCTAGAAAAAAAGTACATATGTGAGAAACAAAAGAAAAAAAATAATATTGCAGCAGCAGAGAGCCAAAAAAAAAGAACTAAACTGAATGAAGTTTTATAATAAAACATAATAATAAAACAACAACAACAACAAAACCTTATAATACACGCCAATAAAGCAAAAACAACAAACACGCGACTTTAAATAAAGTTCATAAACATACACACACGAAAATACTTTCAATCAATTCTACATACGTGTACGTACATACATACGTACAACAAGAACACTTTTATATTGCAAAAATACAGTTGTGCAAATACAATTACAACAATAATAATAATAATAAAAAACTGCAATAAGAACAAGAACAACAACACCTTTTACACATAAACAAACAAAAAACCATTAAACTCACCATACCCATAGTGCAGAACAACAAGCAGACCGAAAGAGTGCGGCAGCAACAGCAAAACAATAAAAACAAGTGAAAATAACATTTAACTCGTACAACAATTTTGGGTCAGGCCAATTGGAGGTGCTCCGGGGGGAGTTATAAACAAAATTGTTAAATTGTCTCAACAAAATTGAAAAGAAAACAAAACAATAATTTCCTTAACAACTTGGAAAAGAATCCTTAAAAAGGTTTTATCCTTAAAAAAAATATATAAAAGAAATCTATTTATTTACTCATTTACCAAAGCCTCCCGTCATCTCCAGCTTAGTAGGCCGTCAATACCCGTGTTTTAAATACTAACAAAATCTTTTTAAAAATTTAAAATTATATTTTAAAAAAAAATTCAAAATCTGTGATTTAAATTATTAAAAAAAATAAAAATATATATTTTTTAATACGGCACCTTTAAAATTAAAGAAATAAATTAAAAAAAAATATTTTACTATTTTTTTTTGTCACCAATTTTGTGCACTTTTTATAAAAATTACACTAATTATTATAAAAAAATAATAAAACAACTTAATTTAATTATTTAAACAAAATAACCAAACTACAACTCCTAAAACAAAAACTAAAACACTAGTTTTTTAAATCTTCTTCTCGTTCGTGGGATTTATAAAAAAAAGTATTTTGTAAGTATTGCAAATTTTATATTTTAAATTATTACAATTTTTACATATTTTTATAAAGAAATTTTGTATTATTAGTTATTTATTCCCAAGAATCAACGGTTGCCGAATGGTGGCAACAACGGCCAACAATATTTGAAAAAAGACGAAATTTAAAGTATATTTTTTTTAAATAACCAGTTGGAAAACAAAAAGTACCAAAAAGTTCCCTTTTATAGATTTTCATACAATCAGGCAGCGTCCGTATTTAATTCTAGGATTATTAATAAAAAAGTTTCAAAAAGTACCAGTTGAAGAAAAAAAGTACCAAAAAGTTTAGTCTAATAAATTTTCATTCCATTAGGATCTGATTTTATGTATCTAGGTTCAATAATTCACACAATCAAAAAAATATTTTAAAAGATTCAAAAAGTACCAGTTGAAGAACAAAAAGTACCAAAAAATGCTCACTTATAGATATTCATTCCACCAGGATATATTGGATGTCTGAAAAGTACCAGCTGATGAACGAAAAAGTACCTACAGCTCATCAATCACTCAAGACTCTGAATGATTAATTTTATGTTTCTATGTTCAACATTATAGAAAATTCAAAAAGTACCTTTTGAAGAACGAAAAAGTACAAAAAACTTCCTTTTTATAGGTTCTCCTTTACGTCAGGATCTACATACATGCTTAATTTAATACTTTTGAGAAAACTCAGGTACCAGGAATTACCCACCTCTAAGGCATTGTAAAAAAACTGATCATATTTTAAAGCCAAGAATGAATCAAAACAATAAACTGCCCTGAACCAAAACGTATATTAATGAGAACGCTCTGTAATAATCAAGACTTGGTCCAATAAAATGATGAAGTAAAACATCCCAACCACTATTTTCCCAATAGTTTTCACTGATCTTACAAAATTTTATTGGGTTCAGGATCAATATTACAATGCTTTGTATACATCAGCACATACCCTCTCCAGTGTAGCTGAGTAATGATTGCATTGATTGGTGAAGGATGAATAAATTACAATAAATCATATATTTTCTGATCTTGGCCCGCACGCTGTCCTTTAATTTGCTCTAAAGTACGTTCCAGGTAATGATCTAAATAACTTCCGAACTTCTGAATAATATGTTTAAATATCTCCTCGAGAATAACTTATAATTATGTTACTTAGTATGAAATAGACTGGTATTAATTAAACATTGATCTATGATTAATCGCGATTTTTGATCTGGCCCCTTTAATGACCTGAAGAACAATCGGTAGAGAAAAAAACGTCAAAACATACATTTGAGGGTGGCTTCCGGTAGGTTAGTGTTCTGGTCTGGTAGACCAGAGGTTGTGAGTTCGATCCAGATTCCCTTTAACTAACAACAGGTTCTATATATATTCTCTAACTAACTAACTAACTAACTAACTAACTAACTAACTAACTAACTAACTAACTAACTAACTAACTAACTAACTAACTAACTAACTAACTAACTAACTAACTAACTAACTAACTAACTAACTAACTAACTAACTAACTAACTAACTACTAACTAACTAACTAACTAACTAACTAACTAACTAACTAACTAACTAACTAACTAACTAACTAACTAACTAACTAACTAACTAACTAACTAACTAACTAACTAACTAACTAACTAACTAACTAACTAACTAACTAACTAACTAACTAACTAACTAACTAACTAACTAACTAACTAACTAACTAACTAACTAACTAACTAACTAACTAACTAACTAACTAACTAACTAACTAACTAACTAACTAACTAACTAACTACTAACTAACTAACTAACTAACTAACTAACTAACTAACTAACTAACTAACTAACTAACTAACTAACTAACTAACTAACTAACTAACTAACTAACTAACTAACTAACTAACTAACTAACTAACTAACTAACTAACTAACTAACTAACTAACTAACTAACTAGCTAGCTAGCTAGCTAGATAACTAACTAAATAACTAACTGACTGACTGACTGACTAACTAACTAACTAACCAATATTTAGTTCCAAAGGAGAATATTATACATCAAATCCGAAGAAATACAAATAGGCCTATATAGGGCCTGTAGTGCGCCCCTTAACCAGTCCCTCAGGAGGGAATCGAACACACCACCTCCGGTCTACCAGACTAGAACATTAACCACTAAACTACCGGAGGCCACAATAACTAACTAACTAGTTAGTTATTAGTTCCTTTAAATTCGACTTTTGAAGGAAATACGGGTTTTCGAAAGTGCAATTAATGTTCGAGTCAATCAGACCGGACTTCTGTTCATTTTGCTGAAATTTTTCTGAAATCAGGTGTTAACATTTTTGTTAAATAACGCATTCCATTATTATTTAGTTTTCATTGGCGCTATTAAAATATTTAATATTATAATTTTTTGAAAAAGAAAATCCCTTTCTTTCTAATATTGTTTTATTTTTTCTAATTTGTTTATTTACCCTCCCAAATGCACATGTGCATGTCAATTTTGAATATTTGTTCACAAAAATCTATTCATATCTTTCTTATTCGCACAATAAAATTTTTTTTATTATTATTTTAGTTTTGTAGTTGGTATTCAATCTTTATGGCACATTTTCATAACGAAAAAAATAACAACCAAACTGTTTTTATAAATTAGTGTCATTATCATCATAGAATGAAAAATAAAACGGCGAAAAATTTTATATACAACCATATGTAAATAGGTAACGAAAAAATGTGTGCATTTATTAATTAAAAGATGTGTATGAAAATGTTTTAAAGTAAATTTTACAGTTTATTTGATAAGGATTTGGTTATGATTAAAACGAGCTACATACACAAAAAAAGAATAGTGAAATCCGTACTCGAATCAATCGGGATCGGTTTTAGAAGGTACAAAGTGCCTTTTTAGGTACAAAGTGATCTTTCTTTCGGTTTGATTTATGCTCAAATACATACTTAATTTGAGATTGTTGGAGTTAAAAACTTTAAAAGATTAATTTAATACCACAATGAGCTTGATTTGAGCTCGCTTCGTACTTGATTTCAAAGTACAGAACATTTTCAGCAAAATGTAGCAGATCGTAGGGAATCACATTTGACCGTTTTCGCTTTTCGAACAATGCTTGCTTCAAATCATTCAATGTCATTCCTATAACGAATTCCTGCGATTAGCTGGCCCCAATTTCAGTAGCTCATAATAGAAGTACCACTTTTAACACAATTCATTACAAAGTATTATGTTGGCTTCATGAACATTCAGCTTAGGCCTTGATTCGGCTGATTGAAGAAGCTGCATATGCTATTTATTACGCATCGGGTTAATGGATCTACTCATAATGATTTCTAGATTCATAGTAGTGCTTCGATTAATCTATAGACTTGTCTATAAACTAGTCCATAAATAAATGTCTAGACTAGTCCATGGACTAGTATGAAAATCAATTCATAGACTAGTTAGTCGACTAATAAATCGACTAGTCCATACTATAGGTTTTTTAGTCCATTCGAGAGTCAATAGATTAGTTCATAGGGTAGTCAATAGATCAGCCAAATAATGAGTCCCTAGCCTAGACTAGGCCATATAATAGTTCATAAATTTGTCAATATACTAATCCATTGGCTAGTCAATAAACTGGGTAATACACTAGGTAGTAAATTAACTAATAAATAGATCATAGGTTGGTCAGTATACTAGTCCATAGGCTAGGCAACATACTTATCAATAGACTCAGATATGTACGATATCAGTTATTATTGTCTGTAATGCTTCCCGGTTAGCAGAAACTGTTTATATCTTCGATGAGTCATCAATAAGAAATATTTGATTACAGACTTCGCTTGCCCCTTATTGATCTTTAGACCCGTATTCGGTGCTACTTCATCAAGTAACTTGATGTTCGCTGACATGTTGGTGTTCCCTCTGGACGTCTTGGATTATATTGGACAAAAGTAGTGATTTTTATACCCTTCAACATTGTGAGAAGGTGCATATCTGAGATATGTGCAATATCTGAATCTACAATAAATCTACCTGACATGTAACATTGTATCTCTGGTACCAATGACTATTATTTCTTTAACTGTCACTTTTGAATTTTCTATAATATTGAATCTAGAAAAATGTACTTAAGTTTGTACAGCCCGGAATAAATCAGAACTTATAAGAGGGGCTTTTTGGTACCTTTTCGTTCTTCAAAAGGTACTTTTTAAATTTTTTATATATTGAATTTAGAAACGCAAAATAATGTAAAAGGGATGTTTCTGGTACTTTTTCGTCATTCAAATGGTACTTTTTTGATTTTCTGATATATTGAACCTAGAATTAGTCATAAAATTATACATATAGTTTCCTGATGGAATAAAAATCTATAGGAGTGTATTTTTTAGTATTTTTTCGTTTATCAACTGGTACTTTTTGAATCAGGCAGCATCCTGATTGAATGAAAATCTATAAAAGAGGACTTTCTGGTACTTTTTCATTTTTCAACTGGAATTTTTTTGATTTTTTCAAACACACTCCGACATGCAGAGTTGTATTTTTAGTAAAAACCCAGGTTTTCCGGAAAAATCGAATTTTTAGAAAAAAAAATTAATATTTCAGTATAAAAACGAATTTTAAAATTTTTAATAAAAAATCAGATTTTTTAATGATAAATCAAAATTATGTTAATTTAAAAAATATTCTAAAAAACCCATAATCTTTGTACAGTTGTTTGCTTAAAGGCACAACTGCAAAGTTAAATCGACCATTTAGTATATGAAATGTTTATTTTTATAAATATTTTGATTTAGAAAAATATTAAAACATTGTAAATAATTATGAATTTAAAAAAAAAACTGTAAAATCCCAGCAAAAACTTACATTGAAAAGTAAAGGGGTTATAACGCTTACACAATAGCATTTGAAGTCATTATTTTAACACGGTAATGACATTAGAGGCAAGTACTTACCTCGCTTACCAATAGGGAGTTAAGAAAGTAGTTACTAAATAAGTAGTTTTGTTTG